TGTCCTGAACTTGTCAATGGCTGGGCACAGCTGCGCATGGCATAGTGATTTGGGTTGTTGCTAAGAGGTGACTTGGCACAGTGCATGGTGGCAGTTGTGCACCTGGTGGCTACATGTAGTGAATGTGCAGCTTTAACAAAAATTTCCCTGAGCCCAGAGCTGAGGCTAACAGGCTTGGAGTAGATCAGTCCCCAGAAGAAATCATGTGCTGGTGTATTGCTAGTATGTTAGGTAGAAAGTGTCTGTGCCACCTATCCTCCTGCAGTTGGCATTGTGTTTATGCTAGGGGGAAGGTGAGGAAAATAGCACCTTCCAGCTCCCTCATTTTCATACTCCAATATCAGTATGAGCAGATCTCTCTCCCCTTTCCTTCAGTATTATGTAAGCTGGTATTTTAATGTTGCCTTTTTGGAGGCTGGTGTCTCTTTAAGGGCAGTGACCCTGTTGTTACACATATTTTCTTGAAGTAAAGGTGAAGGTTTTGATGAGGCTTACCGAAACCACTTCATACTCAGTTTCTAAGACATGCCTTGTTGCCATGCTATCCAGTTTTTTTTTCCTCTTTATTAGAAGGATTGCTTCAGAAAGCAAGTGTGATCTGGTTCAATAAAGGGTGCTTACTCTAGTATTATGGGATGAATTGTGTCTCTCCAAAATTCATTTGTTGAAGTACTAACCATCATTACCTCACAATGGTCCATATTTGGAGATATCATCTTTAAAAGTGTGCTTAAATCAAAATGAGAGCCCTAATCCAATATGACTGGTATCCTTATAAAAAGAAAATTTTTGACATACAAAGAGTTACCAGGGATGTGCGCACACAAAGGAAAGACCATATAAGGAAACAGTGAGAAGGTGGCTACCTGTAAGTTAAGAAGAAAGGCCTCAGGATAATCCAAACCTGCTGACATTTTGATCTTGGACCTTTAGCCTCTAAAACTGCAAGAAAATAAATTTCGTTGGTAAACTGCCCATTCTGTGTTGTCTTAGTCCTTTTGGACTGCCATAACAAAAATCCATAATAAAAATATCATAGACTAGAAGATTCAGTGTCTGGTGAGGCCCATTTTCTTGTTCATGTGTCTTCCCATGGCATAAGGGGTCTCAGGAGCTGTTTGTCATCTATTTTATAAAGGCATTTATCCCATTCATGACCTAATCACTTCCTAAGGGCTCCATCTCCCAATATGATCACATTGGAGATTAAGATTAAACATATGAATTTGGGGGAACACAAGCATTCAGTCTATAATATGTCATCTTTTGTTATGGCAACACTAGCACACTAATATAGATAGGTAGATAGATATATAGATAATAGAAAAAAGAAAGTGGATATTCAAGCCCTCCCCCCACACAGTGATAAAAATGTTTGACCCTAGAATAGATTGATAAAAATAATGTTTTAGCTTTAAAGGCAGTGGATGTTAAAATCAGATGTACTAAATGAGCAAAGGGAGGGAAGGAGGGAGGGAGAGAGAGAGAGAGAGAAATAGACATAGATAACAAACCAGAGGAGAGGTAGGTGAGGGAAATAGGGGATGCAGATTAAATAGTACACTTACCATGATGAAAATAAAATAAATAAAAATAAAATAAAAGGTATATTAAGTTTTAGTCTAATATTATATACATCACATATTTCAAATATAAAAAGTGTCCTACACTCACTTCATATACAGTTGCCTTCGGGAAGCAGGATAATTTCTTATAGCTATATTCAGTGAAGATGGGAATAGCTGGTAACCACCTTCCTATCATTTTTTTTTCAACGTTTATTTATTTTTGGGACAGAGAGAGACAGAGCATGAACGGGGGCGGGGCAGAGAGAGAGGGAGACACAGAAACGGAAACAGGCTCCAGGCTCTGAGCCATCAGCCCAGAGCCTGATGCGGGGCTCGAACTCATGGACCGGCGAGATCGTGACCTGGCTGAAGTCGGACGCTTAACCGACTGCGCCACCCAGGCGCCCCCTTCCTATCATTTTTAACACAATAATTAAAAAGAAGAGAGTTGTTGGGAAACATTCATCTAAAACTGTCAACAAAGCATACACTTGGAATTCTTTAATAAGGTTTAAAAAAACATTTCTATTCAAATTTATTTGAAATATGTGCTTGTCACAAGTGCACTCCTTAATCCCCATCACCTATTTAACCCATGCCCTCACTGCCCCCTGCCCCAAGTCCATAGCCACCACCACCTTCTTCTCTATAATTAAGAGTCTATTTTTTGGGGTAGTTTTTCTCTATTTTTCCCTTTGCTAATTTGTTTTTGTCATGATATATCACATCTTTATCCATTCATCAATCAGTGGACACTTGGACTGTTTCCATAATTTGGCTATAGATAATGCTGCTATAAACATCAGGTACATGTATCCCTTTGAAATAGTATTTTTGTATTCTTTGGGGTAAATACCCTGTAGTGTGATTCTTGGATAATAGGGTAGTTCTATTCTTTTAATTTTTTAAAGTTTTAAAATTTATTTTGAGAGAGAGAACACAAACGGAGGAGGAGTAGAGAAAGAAGGAGAGAATCCCAAGCAGGCTCTGAACCATCAGTCCAGATGGGGCTCGATACCATGAAACACAAGATCATGACCTGGGCCAAGATCAAGAGCCAGACACTTAACTGACTGAGCCACCAAACCGCCCCTATTTTTAATAATTTGTGGAACCTTCATACTGTTTCTTAGAGTGGCTGAACTAATTTGCATTTCCACCAACAGTACAAGAGGATTCCTTTTTTCTCTGCATCCTCACCAACACTTTTTTTTTTGTTTCCTGTGGTTTTGATTTTAGCCATTCTGACAGGTGTGTGGTGATATCTCATTGTGGTTTTGATTTACATTTACCTCTTGATGAGTGATATTGAGCATCTTTTCATTTGTCTGCTGGCCATCTGGATGTCTACTTTGGAGAAAAGTGTCTTCATGTCTTCTGCCCATTTGTAATTGTATTATTTGTTTTGGGGGGTATTGAGTTGTAATATACCATTCAATATTAAATGTGGACTAAGAGATTTTCAATTTATAAAATATTGGCATAAATTTAATCCTAATATTGATGTATATTGTTGTTGCTGTGATTGTACTATACCATGTTAATATCACTGATATAATTTAGTGTCTTATAAATCTACCTTTCTTTGTCACTGTTTTGCTAATCATTTTACAATGTGCAGTTCTGGAATAATAAGGTAATTTATACCTTAGACATAGTATTAAAATGATGGAGTGGTTCTGGTTTTGCTCAACAATTGATCTCTCAAGTTTTTGCATTTTCTGGTATTAATCCTGTTTATTGGTGCAATGTTTTTGTAAAGAATTGTCACTGTTGCAATGTGGTTTCTTGAATTATTTATTAAAATCCTTCCCTTCACTTCACCATTCCTGTTCATTAAAGCATAACAATATCTTATTGATCATAATTGGAATTTCAAATTTGTTAATGTAAGATTCTATCAATGCATCAATCATAAATTACCTCCCTGCTCCTAGGCAGTAACTTTATAGCAGCAAACATCTGGATGAAAAGAGAGAACCATTGGGGTAATCATAGGAGTGTGGTATGTTTTCAACGAATACACCAAGCTTCAACATGATCAGGAAAATGCTTTAAGGTCCATTAAGCCATTGCTATCATATTCAACCAAATTTCCTACCTTCTAAGCTTCCATGCATGCTAACTGAATGGCTTATATCAAAAACAGAACAATTAGCTACTTATTTCTTCCCCATTTGATTAAAAAAGCTTCATTCATATAGGCAGGGACAGGTACCCATCAGGGTTTATATACATTGCTGGAGAATCTGGTTTTGTTTTGTTTTTCTAATGAAACTTATCTAGTTGGAAACTGGCCAAGACTCTCACTTTAGGATTAGAGATTTACTTCAGCCACAAGGGAGCTTGAAGAGTCCTGAGGAGGAGATTCCCAAAGCTGGGTAAGAGTAGATGAGTGCATAGAAAGGTTAAAAAAGAAACCTCTCAGAGATTCTAGCAGATAGTTTGTTTAAATAGATTTTAAATCTTCAGGAAGAATACAAATTGGATCTGAAAACATAGAGTAATACAAATAGAGATACTAATGTCACAATCCCAGAATGGGAATGGTAGTAGAACCACTTACCCCTGAATAAATTAACCAAATCAAGCAAATATATGGGGCAGCCCATACATTTTCTTTTCTAAAGCCAGATAGTTTGCTACTGCAGCGATTGGAATTCAACCATTACTCCTCTTTTTGAAGCATTGTGCTTAAAAGGATGCCCTAGAAATAATTCTGTGGTTGTTTTGCATATGACTTTAAGCAATGGTTCTGTTTCCACAGTATTCTAAGTCCCAGGTTAAGTAGCTATGTTGTTGCAGATCATTATAATAATATAGTAGTCTGCACTTTACACACACTTTTCTTCATTCTCTAGTGTGGAAGATCAAAGTAGAGTACAGTTTCAAATTGGGGGCCATGGTTTTATGTTTTATTCAGTTTTTTTTTGTACAAAAGCCTGCTGTGTATGAAGAGATTAGCCTCTGTAAGACCAGATCTGAGAACAAAGTAACTGATCGCTTTTTTACCACATATTTTTGCATGTTATCATGCTCTTATTAATGAGTGTATTCTTTGTGAGTTAATAACAACTATTCTTCATTAAAACTTTATACGTGTATGGTAAAGCATTGGAATGGGAGGCAGTAGTGGTCAGTTAATGGCTTTCAACATATTAGCACTTTCGATAGCGCTAATTCATTATGATCCCAGATTTGTTTAGATTGCTTGTAAATAGACCATTAGTAAGTGTTGTTTAGTCTTCTCAGAGGCAGCTAAAATCCTAGGTTATTAAAGTTTTTGAAATCATTATTAAAATGAGTTATCTATGCTAATCATACTTTACTAAGAAGTAAGACTAATAAATTAAACTCTAAAAAGGGAATTTTCACAAAGCCTTCTCATGGAAAGTTGTCAAATTGCAGTCTGTTCATACAAATGTTTTTCAGGTGAAAGTGAATCCTCCTGGGATAAGGATAAGTTGCAGTCTCTTCTTGCTGCTCCTGGACCCCAACATGGACTTACTCATGCAGCCCTGTCTAACCAGCCAGGTCTTGGGGGTGCTTCTACCCTCAATCCACTGCAGCAGAACAACCTACTGACCAATAGTATGTATGATGTAATTTCAAAACTTGGTGTTTGGGAAAAAAAAATACCACGCAAGACCAATTGGACACCTTTGGCTAGCAGGGCTAGTACATTTTTCTTCAATAAGGTTTAACAGTTTGAAGTTAGAAGGGTAAATAGGGATCCATTTGAAAGCGTGGGATTTATAGAGTAGAGATAGATCAAGAGGCTATGTAGCAGAGTAATTAACAAAGTTGGCTATAGTCACATAAACTTAGGTTTGAAATCCAAATCTTTTGAATTCCATATTACTGTTTGACTTTGGAGGTTTCACCTAACTTTTACAGGTCTCAGTGTTCACAACTATAAAGTAAGAAAATAATATATACCCATTTAGTAAGGTTATTGTGAAAGTTAAAAATAACAAAAGAAGCTTTTAACAGTGACTTGTATATAGTAATTACTGCATAAATTGTAAGTATTATTACTCAGCAATCAAACTACAGCTAATGGATACAAATTCAGGTTTAGATGATGATTTTAGGAACTTCAAAAACTCAAAACTCTTTCTGCAGAAAAATGACTGATATACATTACTGGACTAAAATTTTACTTTACTTGTAAGCAGGAATGTGAAAGAAAACTTACATTATTCCTTTCCTTGAGATATTCATTCTCTCACTAAACCCTAAGATTAAAACAACAGAACAGAGGAATTCTTAGATATTTTAACACAATATTATAAATCTTAATGAAATTCATCAGTTATGAAGCATATAAAATAAGTTATAGGGTTTTACTTTAAAGATATTATAAACTCAAATGTGAAAGGTCCCATAAAATAGAATGTTAAGCAAAGGTAAATAAATGCAAGAAAAGTTATAAATATCTTATGAGAAGTAAAAAAAAAAAAAGCCTGATTAAAGTAGACTTATTTCATAAAGTAGAGGAACTTATAAGACTTCTGGTTTCTGGTCTGACATTTAAAGAGTTTAGAAGTTGTTACTCCTCCTCAAAGCAAGATCAACAACTCCTTTAAATCCATCAGAGATTGAGTTCACAGGGCAGGGCTATCTCCAAAACTGGAGAGATAGGCAGAAACAGAGAATCAGAGTTTACAGGGAACAGAAGCCACGGCTGGACCCTGGTAGAAACATTTAAATTGCTGGAGACTCAGTGTGAACTTAGATGAGAGATAAAAACCCCTGGGGGGCAATCCTTAATGGATCACTACACTTTAATGAGTTCTACCTCCAGGAACCCCATCAGGTTCTCATGGTGAAGACTTGAGAAAATTCTGGCTGGGAGACAAGGAAAATACCCATTTCAAAATATGCCCAGAATGTTCTGTTCTCCTTAACAAAGCCTTGCCCTCAAAGGAAACTATTTTACCAAAGTTAAACTACTTTCTTTTTAACAGAGCCTAACTTATGTGGGGGAAAGGATATATTAAAATCCACCACCCTGTAGTCATTGATATAAGGGAAAGGAGATGCATAACTCCAGCCCCTTTAGCATTTCCTGTGTAGCAGCCTCCTCACACAGTCAAGACACTGAGACTTTTCTTTCCAGAAAACAACTTTGTTAATGTTGACAGGGACTCAGAAGGTTCTTTTCCAAAAGACTGGGCCCCAAATGCCAAATGTGGGGTGATGTAGCCTTTTATGAATTTTCTACTTCATTGTATCCCATATATGGGTAACATATAGACATACAGTCTGATTGGGTGGTCTTATGTTACAGGGTCTTGAGGGATGTCACTTATGCACTTAGCCAGGTTGCCTTCCCTTATCTTGAGGTCTTTTCTTACCACATTCCTTAGGGACGTGACTTTACCACACCTATGGGGAAAGAAATACTCAACTCTAGTCACCTCTAGCCTTTCTGTCTTACCTAAGATGGAAAAAGCTAAAGAGCACTTGTGAAAGTCATAGCCCGAGGACACAGGCTCACAGATTGAGACCTGATCACATCTTTCTCCTCCCTACACATTTTACCACAACCACAATAGGGCTCTGTATAAGAACAGTGGGTTACAACGGAAAGAACTGAAATCCTCAGAATGAACTGAATTTGATTCTCTAGGATACACCAAAGATAACAGGAGGATGAGAAATGACAGCCACTAATATAACAGGTACAGCAAATAGTAAACATAACCTAATTTTCAGTCAGATAAAAATAAAGCCTTCCACTAGAGGCATGCTTGTTTCAGTTTTCTTTAGCTAATATACCATTTATGGCTTTAAAACAAAAATTACAAGGTGTGAAAAAGGCAAAAAACACAGTCTGAAGAGATAAAGCAAACATCAGAACCAGAATTCGATATAGCACATATTTTAGAATTATCAGACTGAGATTTTAAAATAACTATGATTAGTATGCTTAAAAGAAGGGAAAACATACAAGACTACCTGGGAATATTAAAACTGTATGTTAATTATACTTGAATAAAAAAATAATACATGGGAAATGTAAATAGAGATGAAAATTGAGAAGCTAAAGTAAATACTGGCTCAAAAACACTCCAAAAAAATGAATACCTTTAATGGGCTCATCAGTAGACCAGACAAAGGCAACAATTGAAGTATGTCAATAGAAACTTCCCAAAATGGAAATAAATGTGGAGCAAAGATTGGGAAACAAAACCCAGAATAGAATATACAATTATTGTGCAGCAATTACAAACAGTGTAGCATAAATGTAAGAGGAATATGAAAATAATAAGAGTGAGGGAAAGGAACAGAAGAAATGTTTAAAGTAACAAGGACTGAAAATTTTCCAAACTTAATGAGAGACACCAGACAAAAGCTCTAGAAAGCTCAGAGAATACTAAGAAGAATAAATATAAAAAAAAGGCTACACCTATGCATATTATAGTCACACTGGAATATCAAACACAAAGAGAAAATCTTTTTTAAAAAATTCAGCGATAAATAAATTCTCCTTACCCATAGAGGAACAAGGATAAGAATTACATTGAACTTCACTTCAGAAACCAGGCAAACAAGAATACAGTGGTATTAAATACAGTGGTGTGACTACTTGAAAGAAAAAATAAAACACCAACCTAAAACTCTGAATTCTGAAAATTCCTTTTAAAAGTGAAGGCAGAAATAGAGATTTTCTCAAACAAAAGTTGAGAGAATTTATTATCATACCAAAGATCTGCCCTGTAAAAATGTTAAAAGATCTATAAAGAGAAGGAAAATAATATAGGTCAGAAACCTATATCTACATAAAGAAAGAATGTTAGAGAAGGAATAAATTAAGGTAAATAATACATATTTTTCTTATTCTTTTTTTCAAGTTTATTTATTTATTTTGAGAGAGACAGAGACAATGCAAGTGGGGGGAGGCAGAAAGAGGGAAAAAGAGAATCCTAAGCAGGCTCTGTGCTTCCAGTGCAGAGCCCAGTGCAGCCTTATAGTTTTTTTGATTCTCTGTTTTGTTGTTGTTGTTATTGTTGTTTTTGTTGTTCCCTTTCCTTTTCTCTTTTTGGGTGATCAGGGTTTGTTTTTTTTCCCCTTTTTTTCTATTTATTTGTTTAATAAACAAGTCAAAGAGTACTTAGTTAAAAGTCCAAACACTCCTCACTGCAATCAAGGAGGAGCTCTGCACAGGACTGACCAGTAGGAAAAGGCAACCAAAAAACAACAGCAGAATGCACACAGCATACACCAGAACACTTCCTAATGTGCCATGTCCTGGATAGCGTATGTCCCCTTTTTAATATAACATTACTCTCAGGTGCAGGAAACATAGCAAGCTTATAAAACCTGCAAAAGACAAAAGTTTAGCCAGAATGACAAGGAGTAATTCTCCCCAAAAGGAAGGTCAAGAAGAAATCACAGCCAGAGACTTGCTCAAAACAGATATAGGCAATATATCTGAACAAGAATTTAGATAAACATTCATAATACTACTAGATGGGCTTGAAAAAAGCATAAAAAACACAAGAGAAACCCTTGCTACAGAGATCAAAGACTAAAAAAGTAGTCAGGCTGAAATAAGAAATGTTGTAACTGAGATGCAAAACCAAGTGGATACAGTCACGATGAGGATTGAAGAAGCAGAGGAGAGAATATGTGATATAGAAGATAAAATTATGGAAAATAATGAAGCTGAAAAGAAGAGGGAAAGGAAACTAATAGATAATGATGGGAGACTTAGAGAACTTAGTAATTCCATAAAATGAAACAGTGTCCATATGATAGAAGTCCCAGAATAAGAACAGGAAGAAAAAGAGGCAGAAGGTTTATTTGAACAGATTACAGCTGAGGACTTTCCTAGTCTGGGGTTGGAAATAGGCATTCAAGTCCAAGAGGCACAGAAAACTCCACTCAAAATCAACAAAAACAGGTCAATACCATGACATATCATAGTGAAACTTGAAAAATACAAAGATGAAGAGAAAATTCTGAAAGCAGCTAAAGACAAAAGGTCCTTAAACAACAAGGGTAGACACATAAGGTTAATAGCAGACATGTTCACTGAAACTTAGCAGGCCAGAAGGTAGTGGCAGGAAATATTCAATGTGCTGAATGGGAAAAAATATGTAGCCAAGAAATCTTTTTAAAAATATTTTTTAATGTTTATCTATTTTTCAGAGAGAGAGAGAGAGAGCACAAGTGAGGGAGGGGCAGAGAGAGAGGGAGACAGAATTTGAAGCAGGCTCCAGGATCCAAGCTGTCAGCACAGAGACTGATGCAGGGCTCAAATTCACAAACTGAGAGATCATGACCTGGGCTGAAGTTGGATGCTTAACTGACAGCCACCCAGGCGCCCTGAAGCCAAAACTTCATCATCCAGCAAGGCTGTCATTCAGAATATAAGGAGAGATAAATAGTTTCCCAAACAAAAACTAAATGGGTTCATGATCACTAAACCAGCCCTGCAAGCTGCAATTTTAAGGAAGAGTCTTTAAGTGGAGGATTAAAAAAAAAGACTAGAAACAAAGACTAGAAAAGCAACAAAGACGAGAAAGTACCAGAGAACATTATCAGAAACAAAATGTCTCTGCAGGTAACAAAATGGCACTAAATTCATATCTTTCAATAATCACTCTGAATGTAAATGGACTAAATGCTCCAATCAAAAAATAAAAGAATGGAGAAATATATAATATTTTAACACTAATCAAAAGTAGGTATAGCTATATTAATTTCAGACCAAGTAGATTTCAGAACAAGAAAAACTGTAAGGACGAAGAGGGGTATTACATAATGATAAAGAGCTCAATTCTGCGAGAAGATATTAACAAGTCTTAATGTGTTTGCTTGTATTAACAGAGTATCAAAAAATGTGAGGTAAAAACTGATAGAACTGTCAGAAGAAATAGATGAATCCACTCTTTTAGTTGGAGACCTCAATACTCTTTTATCAGAAATGGGAATATTCAGGAGGCAGAAATTCAAGAAGGGTATAATTGAATCGAAAAGCACCATTAATCGACCTGATCTAATGGACTTTTATAGAATATTTCATCCAACAATAGGAGAATATACATTCTTCTTAAATTTACATAGAACATTCACTAAACTAGATATGCTACAGGCAAAAAGCAAATTAGCTTTACAATAGACCTCCAGGATCCTGTAAGTCTTCTTTAACATATGGAAATCCCTTTAGAAACTTCCTTTATCTCTACCCCCTCCAACTTGAAAGTATATAATCAATCAGTCTGCACAATCACACAGCAGCTTTTTCTGCCCATGAGTACTGTGAAAAGCACCTATTTGCACAAGGAAAAAATGATAGATTACATTACAGGTACTTCATGGAATAGAAATCATACAAAATATGCTCTTAGTTGTAATGGAATTAAACTAAAAATTAACAAAAAGACACCTGGAATATCCAAAAATACATGGAGAGTAAACAGCATATACAGAACGGCATTAAATAATAAAAAAGGGATCAATACAACACAAAGATACAACAATTTTAAATATCTATGCCTGTACATTGGACCACTTAGACACATAAGCAAAAATTAGACAAATATAGAGAAGTAGATGTTAATACAGGAATGGTATGAGACTTAAACACACTACTTACATTAATGGATAGATCATTCAGGTAGACAATCAATAAGTAAACAATGTCTTTGAATGATACATTAGACCTGATGGACATAATAAATACATACCATAGTCCATCCCAATACAACAGAATACACATTCTTTTCAAGTGCACATGCAACATTTTCCAGAACAGATAACATGTTAGGCCACAGAGCAAGCTTCAGTAAATTTAAAAAGGATTGAAATTATATTACACATCTTTTCTGACCACAATAATAAGAAACTAGAAATCAATCACAAGAATAACACTAGAAAAAATACAAATATATGGAGGTTAAATAACATGATATTAAACAACCAGTGCATTAGCTAAGTAATCAAAGAAGAAATAAAAAAATATGGCAACAAAAATACAAAAGATAATGAAAGAATATTATGAAAAATTATATGTCACAAATTGGACAACCTAGAATAAGTGGATAAATTCCTGGCAACAATCTTTCAAAACTTGACCATGAAGAAATAGAAAATCTGAAGATACAGGTAACAAGTAACAAAATTGAATCAGTATGCAAAACACTACCAAAAAATAAAACTTCCAGACCAGATGTCTTCACAAGTGAATACTACCAAACATTTAAAGAAAAGTCAGTACTATTTTCCTCAAAATATTCCAAAAAAAAAAAATAGAAGAGGAAGAAAGGTTTTCAGGTACATTATACAAGGCCATCCTTTTCCTGTATCAAAACCAGACAGGCACCATAAAAAAAAAAAAAAAAAAAAAAAAAAAAAAAAAAAA